TGAGAACGGGGGCGAGCTGGACTATTCATTTCATGACATCAAATACACCTGGTACTCAGTGGTTGTTTTGCACAAGGTCCAACTAACCCCCAGAAGTTAATTAAGCAATTGACGGGTTAAAAGAGCAGCAAAAAACAGTGTCGCGATGCCGAAGTGACTAACTTGGCAGATATTCAAGGGTTACACAATCATACAATAAGGACAGAATTTGACAATTCGACCACTCAAAGACCCGGTTTATGCCTTGTTCCCAAACCAGATGTCAAATTACGTGAAACAGTGCATTTTCTGTGCATCGTTTTGAGGCCAAGCTGGCAGTAACCGTAACAGCAGCTGATTCGGTAAATTGTCATAGGAAACTGTAACTTGAACTCATGTGTAATTTAAGCATCAGTTAAACCGTACCACTAAAGTTGACATATTTTGCACGACTAGTGTCTTCATATTACTCGGCATAACTATTCTCCGTGAGCATAACGGAATCATCATCACACGTTGAAGGACTAAACTCAGTCCATCCAGGGTTAAGATTCCCCTCGTCCGAGGTTGTCATCAAGCCGTGTTTGGCCATCCAAGGATGAAGGAACTGGCTAATTTTGATCACTTCGGTATGCGATAGAACATTTTCTTTCATGAGTCACACGAGGTAAACCACAGTTTTATCAAATAAATATTGCCACTCAATCCATGTTCGATGCAGATAAACACGCGCGGATGTGACCAATCTCCAAGACTTTCCGACAAATTAAAAACACGCTAGAAATTCCGAATCTACAAGAAAATGATGCGGGGAAGGGAAGCAGAAACCCCGTCAACGGATGGATAATCATGAATTTCACTGAATCACTGTCTGTGATTCGTAGTTTTGGTAACTGAACCCGGTGAAACAAAAATAAAATAAAATAGAGCAGTGATTTGCCACTTTCAAATGAACCTTTCTTCTTTGTTCATGTAGGGACCTCCCAGTTCGATTCGGCAGTGGACATTCGGCGGTCGCAACTGGTTGCACCAAATCTTGAGGATAGAAGGAAGGACTATGACACACATAAGCAATACTCTGCCGCCGCGGCAGTTGCGGCTGCCTATGCATACGCTTCCAAGTATGTACAAACGGCCAGTCATCAGCACCTGCATACATCTAACGTGCACACACAACTGGGATCAGATGTTTCCAACCCGGTGTCCGACTGCGTACTGAATCCGTTCGCAACCCCAATCCGTACATCTCATTTCGGATTTTCGGGGCCACAGTCAGCCTCGTGGAGCAGTCGGCGTGTTCAATCCGAACCGGCCACGACAAGTTCTTGTTCATCTGCATTTGCCAGCAATCAACCCCCAGCGCATAACGAGAATCGCTTTCTGGACTCGTCGTACGATGGGAATCGAGTTCGGCCGGAAACATGCGGGTTCGAGGCACCGTTTGTGTCTCAATCGCATCCGAACAAATCAGGTACTGCTGCAGCAG